GAGCATATTTTATTGACGCATCAGACTACTGAATTGACTCAAAGTTTCTCTCAATATAAATTATCCGGAAGATCAACTTTTTTTTGTGTTAACCGATGTTATAATCACAAACGATTAATATGCATCTCTGACAAATATGAATTGAGTTCGAAAGGATTCATATAAGATTTCGTCACAGCGTTAAGTTCGATGCGAGTATGTGGCTGCGGCTGTGGATGGATGTGAAGTGCGCCTTGTAGGTGGGTATCATTGAAAGAAAGACATGCACCAACCCACACCAAAAATTTCTTTTATTTCTGATATTTTTATGCAGCAACTATGCCGATCTTGAATATAACACCTTTTATTTTAACAGCAACGAAAACTTTTTTTCTCTGATTGACAAAGTCAGCCAAGAAACAATATCGAAAATGACAGAGTTTATTTTTGCAAGTTGTTTTCGATCTATCTCGTATAGATGGAAGATAAAAAGAAAAGAATGTATAATGATGTCATCGTATAGTAAAAGGGTCTATGACAATTGTGTGTAAGACGATTTTGTGTAAGAAAATTGTGTGCAGACAATTATGAGAACAACGATCGTGTGCACAGTAGTTTTATGTAAAACTTGAAGACTTAGAAAAAATGAATTAATCATTGTACCACTAGATATGCTTATATCTGATAAAGCTATGACTTCACGATTTGGGTATGGGTATGGGTGTGAATAAAACTAACACCCATACCCAAACCCACTCAATACTATGGAATGTCTATTTTTATTGGACTGATATCTCAAAAATTATCAAATAATATCAATCAATTTCATGGAAATCCAACATGCAATTATTGCGATCAATAATTCAATTCACCCAGATCGGAAAATACAACATCATATATGGCCGTCAGAATGACAACCGTATCTCGCCGTATACGACGAAAATACTGCTGGTATATTATCGTAAACGACAAGAATACGATGAAATACGGCGGTGGTATTGTTTGTCGTATTCTTGTCGTTGATGTGGGTGTGGGTGTGGGTGTGTGGGTGAGAGTGTGGATATGAGTCTAGTGTCATCGTCAACCCGCATGAACACCCACACCCACACCCTTTTTAACCGCTTTTTCATTTCCTTGTTTGATATCGGGACGTATTTTTAACTAAATTCATATTTATGGAAAGACTTTCCTTGATCAATGATTATAATTCATTACAAGTATCTATGAAATTTCTTTGTTCAAAATTAATATGCTTCGATTCATTTATTCGACTCTTAAAGCCATTGTATTACTTCATAATCACCATTGATAAAGACTGGAATAAATTACTTTTTCAAATGTATCTGTAACATAGATTAATTCTTGACAGTATAATTTTCTATTGAAAAAATTGTTTGATATAAGAAAAAGAATAAGATCTGATTGTTCAATAGTTTGTGCTATTTCTATCCATAAATACTTGAAATGATTGAAATCACTAAATATTGATAATTCTGAAAGTATACTGTATACATCATATAATTGTCGACAAAACTTAATATCAACATATGAACATAACTAATCATTAGTGAACAAAAATATTTCATTTTAGTTGAAAAATTAATTTCTACATCTGCAGATAATTGCAAGTTTTTGGTGCGATTGAGATCTTAGCTGTACTTGGCTAATAACTTTTGTTCTTGTTGACCGATCTAGACAATTTTTTCTATATGTTACTCCAATCTGAGTCTGCCACACCCACATCAAATTTCAGCTCTCTAACTCATACCATTACTGAGTTATGAGAGATATATTGCAAAAAAAAAACGTTATTTTTTGGTGACATGTGCAAAGAAAAGAAAATTTTTTGACTATAATAAAACAAGAGAAAAAGAATGTAAATAATCCAGTTTGTACAGCATTCGACGCTCTATCAAAATATGTAATTAATTAAAATTTTATTCTTTCCTTATTTACTCGTCCAACGTTCACATTGTTTGACAGACACTTGTCTATTTTTGTGTAGAGTTACACAAACTCAATTTTAGTTCTCTCTGTGATAGAGCTAACGGCGCGCAGATCATATAAAACGAGAGAGAACTATTGTAGTAATAAACTGGCGAGAAAAAGTTCTCTCATATCA